TTTTGTTACTTTGATTGGTTCTCTTTAGAATTTGAAGGTGTGTATGTGTGTGTGTATATACAGATGCACATATGTGTATATGCATATGCATATATGCAAACACATCTGTGAAATTTGTTTAGTGATGCTGTGATTTGACTATATTTCTTGGTGAAGCAAACTTGAGATTTCTGTCATCCAGTCTGTGATGACAAGGTGGTCCTTCTCCTTGCCAAGGTGTGCACTTGATCTAATCCTCCCATATTCTCCAGTAAACTACATCCTTAGTCAACCCCTCCCCCTAAAAATCTTCAAGCTCTCCCAATCAACTGGTTCTTTCACTACTGCTTTCAAATACACCCAAATCTTCCCCCCAACCTTAAAAAACTTTCAGCTATCATCTTGTCTATTCTCCCTTTCTTGGCCAACTCCTCAATAAAGTTGTGTGTGTACACTAGTTGTCTCTACTAGTTGCCTTTATTTTCTCTTCTCTTCCTCACCCTGTCTCCCCCTTTCTCTCCTTTAATCCATTGATATCTGGCTTCTGGCTTTGTCATTCGTGAAACTACTCTATCTAAAGTTACCACTCATTTCTTAATTGCCAAATGTGATGATCTTTATCAGTCCTTGTCCTTCTTGACCTCTCTGCCACTTTTGGCCCTTCTGACCACTCTCCTCTTGATTATTTTCTTCTTTCTGGATTTTTATGATACTACTCTCACCTGGTCCATCTCCTACCTGTCTGACTGTGCCTCAGTTCCCTTTGCTGGCTCATCATCTGTGAGTATTCCTTATTTCTGTCCTAGGTCCTTTTTTCTCCCTCTATACTTGTAGTAACTTCATCAGATCCCATTAGCTATCATTGCCATACAAATGGCTTCCAGATTTATATATCCAGCCATCCCAGTCACTTCCTTGAGCTTTTTTCCTGGATCACTATTTTTCTGTTGGACATTTTCAAGTTCGATATCCAGAAGACATCTTAAACCCAATATGTCCAAAACTGAACTCATTATTTTTCCTCTCCTCTTCCCTACTTCCCATTTCTAATGAAGACACCACCAGCTTTACAGTCTCCCAGGTTTGTAATCTCAGCTTTATCCAGATCTTCTCGTTCATCTTTACAACATTTATCCATCCATTTACAAATCTTGTCATGTCTCCCTTCATAACATTTCTTATATCCAACCCCTTTTCTCTACTCTAGGAGCTACAACCTTAGTTCAGGCCCTCATTCCTTCTCACCTAGCTAGTTGCAGCAATCTATATAATCTGTTGTTGCAGCAATACTATTTGGTCTCCCTGCCTTAAGTAGCTCACTACTCTAGTGCATCATATATAGTGCTGGAAAAGGAATTTTCCTTATGTATAGATATAATTATGTCATTCCCCTACTTGCCAACTCTACAAAGCCCCTATTGCCTCTAGGATAAAATATAAACCTCTTTATTTAGTTCTTAATGACCTATACAACCTGACCCCAACTTTCTCTTTCCACTGTCAATGGACATTACTCCCACACATTATGAACTAGCCAAATTGGCCTTCTCTACATGCCACCCCATATCCGATCTGCATGCACTAGCTGCCTCCCATGCGTGAAATACACATCTTCCTACTTCTGCTTCACAAAGTTCCCCTCTTTATGTACAGCTCAGACATTATCTTCTACATGAAACCTTTCCTGATCTCTCTTCTCACAGTGCCTCCCCTCCTAAATTATCTTATAGTTAATTACTTTGTATATAGTTATATTTATTCATTTTATATGTGTGCTGTATATTTTTATATGTACTTGTTATATGTCCCATTAGAATGTAAGCTGTTCTTTGTAGTTGTATCTCTATTGCCTAGCACAGTGCTAATAGGTATTTAATATTTGTTGATTATCAGTGTTCTGTGGATTCTGTTGAATTTTTCCATGTGCTTCCAATATTTATGTACATTTTTTCCTACATGGTTTCCTCAAGTACTATATTAAGATTTTCCTTTTCATAATTTTTTTCTGGAAAAAATTATAATCCTTATGTTAATCTTGTTCCATCATTTCCTTTAATGCTTCATTTTCACATTCCGTTTCCATATTTGTTGTTTATCCTTCATCTTCAAAGAGGACCACGACATCAGGAAGGTGATGTCATGACTTGCAAATGAATTAGATTTAAGCGATGAGAGCCTCAGTCTCTCCTTCAGAGACAACTGAGTCTAGTGGCAAGATATAGATCAGGATGACTGGAGATGGCCCCAGATGCAGTGGGAGACCTTGGCCTTTTTAAGCTAAGGTCTTTCTCATGTCTCAGTTTGACTGAGGCAACACTTATTCAGTGATTAGGGCTAGGTAAGAAATGAGGCAAAGAATGACTAGTCAAAGAGAGCCAGATTTCTTATAATCTTTCAGGGAATATACTATTATGGAGTGCATCTCTGTTTTTGTTTTAAATTCTTTGGTCAGAGTGCTCATTTCCATCTTATTTCTTTAATATTGTCGCATAATTCTTTGCCCTTCTGACCCATCCTGGAGATTCTTAGTGGTAGCAGTTGTGAGGGTTGGGAGGGGGAACTTAACTCTAGTTTCAAGGGACATTGCAGAATTTGTTATGATATTTTCACCAACCTCAGAGGATTTTGACTCAATTTATTTTATTATGATGTATGTTGAAGTGCCTTCTTTCTTTGAATCTTTGTTCATTTATCCTCCTTAGCCAGCTTTTGTCTGCCTTAATCACTATTTTGATATTTCTGTGGTGTTCTTGCTGAAAAAAATACTTATCTCCAATTCTTTTCCTTCCATAGTCACTGCTGCTCTCCCCCTGGCCCAGGCTTTGTTTTTGGCTTTGTTTTAACTATTTCCACCAGATACTGAGGATGACCCATAGAATACTGTTGCAGGGAGATTCTGATTGGACAGTGGAGTTACTACTCAACCACCAAAATATTCTTCCTAAAGTGCAAGTCCGAACATGTCGCCCTCTTCCAGCAAACTCCAGTGGCTCTCTCTTACCTCCAGAATCAAATAGAAAATCTTCTGTTTGACATTTAAAGCTCTTTATAACTGGCCCCTCCTACCTTTTCAGTCTTCTTACACCTTACTCCCCTTGATGATTCAGCGACAGGCTTTCTTGCTGTTACTCCTACAAGACACTTCGTCTTCCAACTCTCTACGTTTCGATAGGCTGTTCCCTATGCCTTCTTTTTCTCCTTTCTTGTCTCTTCTTCCTGACTTCTTTCTAGTGTCAGCTAAAATCCCACCTCTTACAAGAAGCCTTTCCCAATTTCCCTTACAATTTATCCTCTCTGTATCTTGTTTGTACATAGGTGCTTACATATTGTTGCGATTAGATTAATGTTAAATTAGATTAAATTGTAAGTTTCTTGAAGGCAGGTGCTATCTTTGCCTTTCTTTGTATCCCTTGTGCATGGCACGTAATAGACACTTAGTAAAATGCATACTATGACATGACTTGAATTACTTATTGAATCTCAGGGTTGGTCTGATTCATAGGCCTCAACTGGTCTTGAGAGTAGGATTCTATCTAGGACATGGCCTAAGGAGTATCCCCAGAAGTAGAATGTCTAAACTTGCCCTTGCCGCAAGGACCTTTGGCCTAGCACACAGACTGTGGGAAATGGTGAAAACTGTAGGCACGAATGTTAGGAACAATGACGCCTCTACCCACTCTGGGAATAAGGGCCCATCTAGGAGACTGCCGAGAGGTTTACTCTGAAAGACATTGGCTAAAATTACCACAAAGAGTCTTTCTGAGCCGGCATGAAGACTGTGGAAGCAAGGAGAAGGCCAAGGATGCTGTGGGAGCACCAGGAGAGACAAGGTTGATGAATTGGTATTGTGTCTTTTTCAGTTAGAATTACATGTACAAGTTCTTTCACTTTTCTCCTTCCCAGCAGTGTTGAATTTTCTAGATTTAGGAGCCTCTTAAATTATTTGGTGTGGCCAGGGAAAAGCTTCCCCCTAAGATACATTTTATTCTGCATTTTCCCAGGATTCCTTCTTTTAAATATTTGAAGACAACTACTGTGTCTCACTCTCTTTTCCCCCTCCAAGTGTTCTCTTCTCCAGGCTAAACATCCTCAGTTCATTTCACTGATAGTCATACAGACCTCATTAAGGCTCCTCCAGCTTCAAAGTCTAGTATTCTATGAGTCTACGAAAGCTGTGACCAGAAGACCTAAGGTAGTTATCCAAGGATTCAGCTGCAAATCCGTCCATATCATATGTCATATTGTGAGACATTCTGTCATCCGTGATTTGACTCACTGTTGTGATTTAAAGGCAATTCTATCTGCGTTCTTCAATAAATGAAAACAAATGTCAACAGCCAACATGTGGGATAGGCTGCTGGTAATCGTATTGATCTGCAATTGTGTTAGCCTCTATAGAGAACTGTCTGCTGAGAGCTGCTGAAGCCGTGCCTTGCTTATGTCATGGGTCAGGCAGGAGGCGCCTTCCCTTTGAGGCAGTCACATTCCTCTCCCTGCACCCCAACATGCCTTGTGTTACTTCAGCACCTCATAAGTCCAGGCACATTGAAACTAGGCCTTTGTGGGATTTTGTCCTCTAAAGAACCCCACTTGTTTATAGTGTTATGATTCAGTTCTTCCTTCCCAATTTATTTGTTGTTGTTAAGATATAGTGTTCTATAAAAAGGTCACTTGAGAGAGACAAAGAACAAAGAGAAAAAATTGTCTTTTGTGCATAAGCCAAACCAGACTATTTATTGGCAACCCAGAGCGAACTACCCCACTGGTGCCCATTTGAATAACTTTTAATAGAATATCTGCTTCAGATTTATTCTCATGCAGATTTTTATGATGTAGACTGTGAATTGTAATGGAAGGAGCCCACAGATACTTTTTCCTCATAAAAATGTGAGATAATTTGATGGTGGGGTGAATGGGGTGATAAGATAAGTTGAGGAGAGCTGGTCCCTATATACACTCACACACAAAGCATATGTAGTCCTATTTGCATTTAATAAAAATAAATAATTTTGTTTTAACAGAGGAGTTCAAAGGTTCCACGGTTGTGGAATTAATGAAGAAAGAAGGTACCACCCTAGGGCTTACGGTGTCGGGCGGAATCGACAAGGACAGCAAACCAAGGGTATCCAACCTTCGGCAAGGTGGAATCGCTGCCAGGTAACCATGGCTAGAATAACCCTCCCCCCCAAAAAAAAAAGTTATGGTGGGGGGGCTGGCTTCAGAAGTGAAAAACTCATCAAAAAGGTCACTAATAAATAAATGACGACCACCATCTGCACATCAGAGCAGAAACACAGCTGGGCATATCTCTGAAGGTCTCCCACTCCTCTCTCTCTCTCTCACAAGGTGCCCCTGGGCTGAGCCAGAAGGACCAGCAAAGTCTTCCAAAGATATTTCAAGAGTCACCAGTTGCTCATAACTTCTGATTTTGACAAATTTGTTCAGCAAGCCTCCAAATAAGTCATTGCACCAAAAATAAGTCATTGCAGGTGGAAAGTGATGTTGCTTTCCTTTTGTGGGAAGGAGGGGGTAAGTTTAGGTAATATCAATTTAAATAGGACATTTAAAAATGTAAATAGGATATTTAAAAAGAAATTTTAAAAGAATTTTTTAAAAAGATATTGAAAAGAAAAAAAGACATATGTCTTGAAAATAACTGTCCTAGGAATAGTAGGAGACAAAAATCTAAGACCTAAAAAAAATTTTTTTAAGCTCCATGTTCCCTCCTTTGATCTAGGGATAGTTCTAGTGACCTTGAATTTCCAGAAAGTCATGTCAGTTGTGGTTTGAAAGAAGGAAGGAGAATTCCAGCAAGAGTTCTAACTTCCTTTGACCCAGTGATTCCACTTCTAGGACTGTATCCCAAAGAGATCATAAAAATGGGAAAAGGACCCACAAGTACAAAAATATTTATAGCAGCCCTTTCTGTGGTGGCAAAGAATTGGAAATTGAGGGAATATCCATCAATTGGGAATGGCTGAACAAGTTGTGGTATAGGAATGGAATACTATTGTGTTATAAGAAATGATAAGCAGGCTGACTTCAGAAAAACCTGGAAAGACTTGAATGGACTGATGCTGAGTGAAGTGAGCAGAACCAAGAGAATGTTGTACACAGTAACAGCCATGTTGTGTGATGACTAACTTTCATAGACTTGGCTTTTCTCAGCAATGCAAGGATCTAAAACAACTTCAAAAGTCTCATTATGGAAAATGCTATCCACATTCAGAGAAAGAACTATAGAGTCTGAATGCAGATCTAAGCATACTTCTGTTTTGTTTCTTCTTTCTTGTGGTTCCTCCTATTAGTTCTAATTCTTCTTTACACCATGATTCATGTGAAAATATGTTTAATAGGAATGTATCTGTATAGCCTATATAAGATTACATTCTGTCTTAGAGAAGGAGAGGGAGAAAATTTTAAACTAAAATGCTTTTAGAAGTGAATATTGAAAGCTAAAAATTAATTAATTAATTAATTGATAAAAAAACAAACCAAAAAAGACAGTTCTAACTTTTTTCTTTTGGATTTTGAATCCCAGCAGGCATTGCTAGGTAAGGTAACTAGGTACATAGCACATATGCATTAGACTTTGAATCAAGAAGACCTGAGTTCAAATACAGTCTCAGATACTTATTAGCCCCATTAACTACTGCCAAGTCACTTAACCTTGGTCTGCACCACCAAGGTCCTTATCTATCAGATGATGATAATATGACCTTACCACACCCCTCACAAGGTTGTTATAAGGCTCAGCAAACATACGTAAAGCACTTTTAGATTTGCAAATTGTTTACAAACAACCCTCCTGGGAGGTATATAGGAAAACAAGAGGGGTCCCTCACAGAGGGGACACGAACCTGAAATACCTACAGGGTTAGATAACGGTAACCTTGTTCAGGTAGTCATTGATTCAAAGTCCTCACCTAGTAAGATACATTCTAGATGAGTGACTTATAACGAAACTTTCCAAAGGCCAAGGTGCTAATTGTTTCTAATGATCCATATACAGATTCATACACAATTTTTTTGTAAATTAAAGGCTCTATTTCTTACCATGCAATTCTCCTCTTTGCTGCTTAAAAACAGGCATCTATAGGAAATATGAGATATTATTATTAATTTTCTATCACAATAACTGTTGGGATTCATAGTTTATGGGAGGTGAGGGACTTAAGCTTAGCCTATAGTAAATGAGTTCATTATTCACAATTTTGAATGAAACATTATTATGAATTTTTAGATGGTACTTAATTCTTATTCTTACCTTTAGCCTCATTGGCCTCTGTTGTCTTATGTGTAGAATTTGGCTAAAAATGTAGATGTGGCCAACTTGTAATTGGAGGAACAGTGATGGAGAAAGGAGGAAATAAGCATTTATTGAGCACTGTGTGCCAGTGCTAAGCGCCTTACAAATATTCTCTCAACAGCTCTGTGAGGTAGGTACTATTATTATCCCCATTCCCCAGATGAGGAAACTGAGGCAAAGTGACTTGCCCAGGGTCACACAGCCAGATTTGAAATCAGGTCTTCCTTACTTCAGTCCTGACACTATCCATTGCCTCCCTAGCTTTACAGAGCTGATGACCAAGCAATACGTATAAACAGGAAATGGGATCGTTGCGTAGGTGGCATGATAATATAGAGTGTTAGACTTGGGAGTCAGGAAAACCTGAGTTCAAATCCTGCCTCAGATTCTTGTTAACTTTGTGACCTTGGGCAAGTCACTTAATATCTCAGCCTCAGTTTCTCCATCTGGAAAACAGGGATAATTATAACACCTACCTCCTAGAGCTGTAGTAAAGATCAAATGAGCTCTTACGTGTACTTTGTAAGCCTTAAAGCACTATATAAATGCTCGCCATTATTGTTATTATTAGCCTGGGAACCTCTATACATCATTTCATATACAGGGATTAATATGGTTGTTTGGTTTTGCCAGCTCAGGTATCAATGCTTATATATTTGTTAATGAAAAGAATGTTGGATGGGGGGGGAATAAAGTGAGTCTTCTGAATGAAGAGAATAATTACTGACAAACACAAAATCTGTGTTTTGCAGAAGCGATCAGTTAGACGTGGGAGACTACATCAAAGCCGTGAATGGAATCAACCTCACCAAATTCCGCCATGATGAGATCATCAGTCTGCTGAAGAATGTTGGGGAAAGGGTCATTCTGGAAGTGGAGTATGAGCTCCCATCCATCTGTAAGTCATCCCATTCCTGAGCAATGCATCCAGGGACCTCTCTTTCTAAAGCAATTTTAAGTCTTCGCTTCTTCCATCAGTGCCTCTTTATAGGCATGGTAACTCTTAGTTCCCTATTATTTCAGAATGATTTTATTTATCAAAGTCAGTGCCTTTTAAGTAAAAAATTAGCCCAACTAGCAAGCAATAATGAAACAACTAGGTTGCCATTCCATGAAGGACATCTGTTAATATGGTATGCTGCTTATGTGCTTCAATCAGCAGTAATCATTTGTCCTAAGCACATGCTAGGTACTCTCTTTATAGAATAGAGGTAGGCATAGATCAGATCATTTCCAAGAGGTTTTTAATGGGCTCTTGAGTAGCTTTTGTTAAATTAGGCAGTATGAGTAGTAAGCAAAGCAGGCAAGGTCCCGGCTTCTGCTTCATGTTTGTTCTGCTCCCGTGTTTAGTTGAGAAGTTTAAAAGTTGATATGTTTTATTCTTATCTTTAATCCTATGTTACTTCTCATTTCTTCCCATTGTGTATGTCTCAAATTCCTCATGTGGCCCTCTAGATCCTCACTCACGGCCTTATTCAGTCAAAGGGCCTCACTTGAGGACCTAGAGGGCCACATGTGGTCTGGAGCTGCAGGTTCCCCAGCCCTAGAGGAGGGGAGAGTAAGGCACATATAAAAATAAGTATAATACAAATTACAAAAAAAAAAAGACAAAGGCTGTTATTCTTTCTGATGCATCATCCCACTATTTAGCTATTTTTCATGATTATTTCTTATGTGTTAAAAAGGAATTTAGGCCTCTGAGGGCAAAGAGATAGAGAAGAGAATACAAATCCTTTCATTTACTAGGCTCGGATGTCATCAGAAAACTGAAGGAGGGTGCCAGTCATTAAATCAGAGCAAAAATAACCAAAGCTAAGAAGCCCACAGTTCTTTGATGCCAAACCAACCCCAGGAATGAGGTCAAATTGTCCAAAAAAATTGAATTATAAATTACAATTTTAAAAAAACCATTGATAAAAAACTTTCTCAGTCCTTCCAGTTCCTAAAGCCTTCTCCTCCATGATAACCTTCTCTCTATTCTATATGTGTATCTTGCATATACCTTATTATTTTGTGTCCTCTCCCACTAGAATGTAAGCTTTTTGAAGGAACGGTTTTTTGCCTTTCTTTGTATCCCTAGCACTTAGCACGTTGCCTAACACAATAAATGCTTAATAAATACTTTCTGATTGATTGATTGATGGCAGATGTCAATCATAATACAAAAATAAAAAGTCACAGGTTAGTGGGCTTTGATCCTAATTATGTTTTCTAAGTTACCAGAGATTACATTCCAACCTTAGCACCGTTCCAATGGCTAATTTTGATTCTTTAGGCAAACTGCTTCACTGTACCTCATACTCAGATGTATATGTAAATAAAGTAATTATGCAATGGTTTTCATTTCATGCATATGAAGTATAAATGCACAACCATCCAGAGAGAAGTCATGCAACTTAATTTTTTTTAAAGATTCATGAATTAAACTAAAATTAAGTTAACCCTTGATTACTTATACTAACAATGATATGAATAATCTGAGAAAATGGGAAACCCCCAATGCATTTATATGTGGTCTAGGAATGACATGAGAGATTGTGAGATTTTGATTTCTAATCTTTCTAACCCATATTTACTTAAGCTAATATTAAAATTAGTTTTCATCCTCTCAGCAGAGATGTGCTGGCAGAAAGAAACTAATCTAAGATTCAGATGGGTTCCAGGTTAGCTACAGGTAATTAATTGAAAGTTGACTTAATGATTTAAATTTAAAGAATGGAAAGGTCAAAACATTCTTGACTAATTTCATCAAGGACCCTGGTGTGTCATACAAATGAGAGGACGTGTCTTCCTTTTCTTTTAATTAAAGCCATATTCCCACATTCACAGCTTCTCATGCCTACAATTTCCAGCTGATTAGAACAAAATGAAATTTGTGTTGTGGCGGGAATAGAGCATTTAATTAAATCAGTGAGGTACTGAAAACATTTGCTTGGCTGTTACTTATATTATTTTGCTTTTCATCCAAGTATTTTGTGTGTGTGTGTTTTAGAGCATGACCAGATAAGATGCAAGTTTTATAAATTGAATGATGTGACCTTTCAAAACTATGCTCAATCCTTTAGATATTTGGAATTCCTGACATTTAAAAATTTTGTCATTAATGCTTAATTATAACTAGTTGCTGTTCCTGTAAATAATTAGTAATGCCCTTTTGCAATATTCCCTAATCTCATGATGACAGTTTTATGTAATAAAGCTATTAGATTCTGGTGATATTAACACACATTTTGCAGCTATAAAATAATACATTTCTGCATTTTTCTATCAAAAAATTATATATACGTGCAAATATATCAGAACTGTTGTAAAGTTCTCTGCCTTTGTTCTACAGACTATTTCAGAGTTTCTTTTTGCAATGATCTAACAATTTCATCATTTGAAACAATCATACCAAGTCGTGCAAAGATGGAATAAGCATGCTGATATCTCATAAAATTAATCATAGTTTTCTCAGCTCCAGTTATTTTTTCACCCACCAATTTTATCTCCATAGTCCCCTGCTTTGCTTAACAGCAATGTCGATTTAGGCAGAAAACATATCGTGTCAAAACATCTTTGTCCAACAACCCAACCAGACGATGCCAATGGAATTCTGACAATCGTGTCCTCACACTCTGCCAACTGGGCAAACACACAAAAAATAAATTATGTGGTGGGACTCAGAAATTTTATTCTTCTCATAAACCAACAGTTTGGCATATTTTTAAGGGAAAACCAATTTGCTACTTATATTTGTGAAGATCTTTGTTATCATTTTTAAAAAGCCAAGATTCCCAATTATTCTCCTCTTGCCAAGTGAATTATATACATGAAAAAGAGCTGTCATTTTAGTTCAACTCAATCTATAACATTTAGTGAGAATTTGACTCCTCCCACTTTGTATATAATTTCAGTGCTTTTACATAGGATGGTAGATTATTAGCTCTGAAAAGGATTTTAGAGATTCTAAAGTCCACCCTCCTGATTATACGCCGCAAGAAAGTGCAAGTAACATAACTTTACAAATTAGATTAGCGTCACAACCTGAATCAGAACCTAGATCTTCTGACACTGAATCCGGGGTTACATCCATTATACACTGTTGCTTCATTTGGGAGCATTTGATTCTTAAAAATCACTCAAATGTTTGTTTGAAATCAGGATGTGGAGTATTTCATGCTACACTTTAAAATTATCATTTTATTCTATGAATGCTGATATATAGTGCTTTGGCCAAGCTTCCCACCTGATTTCACACTTACTTTTTGCTATTTTTTCCTTAGCTGTACAAGGATCTGGTGTTGTGTTCCGAACAGCAGAGGTTACTTTACATAAAGAAGGCAACACTTTTGGTTTTGTGATACGAGGTATGTCATTATTGGGGAAAGTTGAATGATGGGCCAATCTGACCAAGTAGAGGCAATGGATTTGCAATTGGTTATCAAGGTGTAACTGATGCATCCGGTTGGCCAGCCACCCTGGAGATTTTGTATGCTCTTTTTTCTTAAAAATAAAAAACCTATAAAAACAAAAGATATCAATAAACTTTTGGTTTTTTTAAAAGACCTCAATGTGCAAAAGTAGCAAATACAAGTAAGTTTAAAATGATCTATGTTTGGAAATTGAATAACCCACTCAGTAAGAATTAGACAAAGTAGCAGAGGCTACCATGATTTTTTTTTTTGATCCAGACCTGTGATTTCATTGGCATAGAGAATTCGTGATAAAGAAGCCCCCTCTTCCAGTGCAGATTGGCGACTTTTATTTAACCTGTAGTCTTAGAAAGTTGTTCAGAGCACTGAGAGGTTAAGCATCTTGCCCCGGGTCACACAAGCAGTACATATCAGAGGTAGTGCTTAAACAGGGTCTTCCTGACTCTCCACAGTGCTGCCCTGTCTCTCTAAGCATGACATTATTAGATTGGAATTCCTTTAAGAAGACATGTTCATAATTCTTTGTGCCACATCAGATATTGAGCTTTGGCTCTCTCTACCTTGATAAAAGAGGCAGCTAGGTGGAAGAGTGGATAGAGTGCTGAGCCTGGAATCGGGAAGACTCATCTTCATGAGTTCAAATCTGGTCTCAGACACTTCCTAGCTGTGTGACCCTAACCCTCTTTATCTCAGTTTCCCCATCTGTAAAATGAGCTGGAGAAGGAAATGGCAAACCACTCCAATATCCTTGCCAAGAAAACCCCAAATGGAGTCACAGAATTGGACACAACTTAAGTGACTCAAACAACAACAATATACCCTGATAAAGAGATAACAATTGCCCTTCTGTACCATGATTTCATCCTATGTAGGCACCTGGGGTTGCAGTGGATAGAGTGCTGAGCCTAAAGTGAGGAAGACCTGAATTCAGATCCAGCCTTAGACACTAGCTGTGTAAACCCTGGGCAAGTCACTTAACCTCTGTTTGCCTGAGTTTCCTCAGCTATAAAATGAGGACAATAATATCTTGTAGGGTTGTTGTGAGGCTGAAGTGAGATAATATTAGTAAAGCATTTAGCACAGTGCCTGATACATAGTAGGTGCTCTATAAATGTTTATTCTCTCCCTCCATCCTCCTCCCAACCATCCAGCCATGGTCTACCTTTTTTTTTTTAACAGAATAATATCTATGAATAGCCTCACTGTGGCTCCAACTTAGGTTAATATCCTAGAAATTAAGCTACTTTACATAATTTCATTCCTCTTCAGATTCATTTTTATTATCATGATTTTCTATAAACTAATTGAAGATTAAATTTTCATCTTCTAATGAATCAGATTTCAAGTGAATGTATTTAGATTTAAATTTTGCCCATTTTTATCGTAACCTCCCAAGGAGGTTAACAAATGACTACATTGGCTGTATCTAAAAAGTATGTCTAGTAATAATAATAATAATAATAATAATAATAATAATAATACTAAAGATTTCAAACTGATTCACCTTGGCCAAGAAGTAATTATAAAAATAAGCAATTGTGCCACTTCAGTATAATTTCTAACCCAAAGCATTTTATATTTGGTAGTAGTGATTTCCACCCTTAAAGATGGAGTCTACATTACTGTTGTAATTATTATCAGGAGAACAGGATTTCACAGCAAATTATTTTAGGAAATTTGCTTGGCAGGGGGTGGGGGAGTAGGTCTCCATTTGTCCACAGAGGGAATACCTTTTATGAGAGGTTAAGTGGCATGTCCATTGTCCCTCAGCCAGTATGTGACAGAGGACTTGAGCAAATGTCTTCTTGACTCCGTGGCCATTGTGTTCACCATCTACTATGCCGCATCTGCTTTCATTTAGATACTAAGTAGAAGGATTTTCATTGTAGGCCTTTGGACACCTATAGCAAGGTTGTTTTAGCAGAACGAAAATTTCCCCCAAGGCTTGAGATGATTTCAGCAGTCATAACTTGTTTTCTTGTATTACTAAGATGGCAACTTTGCATGACTCTGTTTTACTTAAATGCAGTTCACATGTGAGTCAAGACATCTCCCTGTGATGTCATTGGTCCTCTTCAAAAATGAAGATGAACAACATGCCTGATATAAATGACATATTTTCACCAAAAGTAGTAAATGCTTTGTGAATTTAAAAAAAAAAAACAGATGTTCATCTAACTTATATAATTCTAGGTGCAGAGTGTGCACCAAACTTTAACACCTGTGAGACACTGTAATTAGACAGAGGAAAATCCCTGGCCTGAGAATCTAGAGACCTCATTTCCAGTACCAGCTTTACTAGTAACTTGTTTTGTGACCTTAAGCAAGGAACAAATTAATCAGCTCCCCATTGCTGATTGTATTTAAGCTAAGGTTGTAGAACTATTTTGGAGGATATTGCAGAATTATCACATCAGGTAGGAGGTTTTGATGGCTTCTAAATTCTCTTCTAACTCTTAACAATTTTGGGGAAATGCTTTTTTTAAAAAAATGTATTTTTCTTATTATATATAATATATTATTTTTCTTAATGTGATTTATTTTTGATTGCTATTTGTTTAAATGTTGATATCTTTTTATATGACCAACTTTATAAAAATATATTTTATTGTGAATATAACAATAAATAAAATGGACATCATTTCTATACACATTAAAAAAAGGCATTGTACATGAAACTCAAGATGGTTATTGTATACAGTTTATTTTTCTTTTAAAAAATATGATAAATTAGATTTGAAAGCTGTCCTGCTTTACTGGGCTTTTTAGATTTTCTTATCTTCTCTTATTGTCATTTAAAAAAAAATAAAAGATGCCTCAATGACTTACCTCTTCTTCCCCCTCCTGCTTCTCCCCCTCCTCCTTCTTTTCTTTCTCTCCCTTTCCTTCTTCCTTCTCCTCCTTCTTTTCTCTCTCCCCTTCCACCCCTCTCTCTTTCCCCCTCCCTTTCCCCCTCCCTTCTCTCCTCTTTTTTTCTCTTTCTCCCTCTTTCTCCCCTCTCCCCTTCTCTCCCTCCTTCTCTCTTTCCCTCCCTTCCCTCTCTCCTACGCTATCTACTCACCCTTCTCTTCCCTTCCCATCAGGGAAAAAGAAAGAAAATAAATATAAATAAATAAATCCCTTGTAACATGTACATATTCAAGGAAAACAAATGACTACACTGGCTGTGTCTGAAGAGTATGTCTTTTTCTGCATCTTGAGCTTGTCACCACTCTAAAGAAGTGGGTGCCATAATTCATCACTGGTCTTTTGGAATTGTGATTGATCTTTGCATTGATAAAGTCTTTCAGAGACTTGTTTGCTTAAGTAATAATGTTGTTATTGTATAAATTATTGTCTTAGTGCTAATTCATCATTCTACATCAGTTTATACAGGTGTTTATAGGTTTCTGTGAAACCGTCCATTTCAGCAATTCATAGGGCACAATAATACTCCATTACCTTCTTCTACAATAATTTGTTCACCTGTTCTCCAATAGGTGGGCATCCCATAGTTTCCAGTTCTTTGCCACTACAATAAGAGTTCCTAAAGGAATTTTTATACATGTGGATCCTTTTCCTGAGATATAGGCTTCTCTTAGCAGTATTGCAGGGTCCAAGGGTATGCAAAGTTTAGGCACTTTTGGGGAATATTTCCAAATTGCTTTCTGGAATGGCTAGGAAAACTCACAGCTCCACCAACAGTTCATGAATGTGCCTGTTTTCCTATAATCACTCCGACATTTGTTATTTCCCATTTTTGTCAGCTTTGTCAGTCTGAGTGGTATGAAGTAGAACCTCTGAGTTGCTTTAACTTGCATTTCTCATTAGAGATTAGCATGGATTTCTTCCTTGAAAAACTATTTCTTTTGACTACATATCTACTTGGAAATGATTCTTGTTCTTATAAAATTGAATTAGTTACACATATATATGTATGTGTAAAGATGCTTTAGTGACTCTCATATCTCTCTCTCTCTCTCTCTAAATATATATATATAGAGAGAGAGACCTCCTTTATCAGAGGAATTTGCTGCAAAGATATTTCCAACTAATTGTTACTACATTCTTTTACTTGTGCAAAACTTTCTAATGTTGTTTAATCAATATTATCTGTTTTGTCTTCTGTGATTCATTCTATCCATTGTTGGATCTTGAACCCATTCTCTATCTATAGATCCAAAAGGTAAATTCTTCCTTGATTCTCTAATTTTTTGATAATGTCCCCTTTATGTCTAAGTCATGTATCCATTCGCAGTCTATTTTGGCATGTGGTATGAGTTGTTGGTATTATGCCTAATTTCGGCCAGACTGCTTTGCAATTTTCCAAGCAATTTTTCTCAAATTATCACTTATTTCCCATTATGTCCCTACCTCACCCAGAGAGCTATAAGAATAAAAAAAAGAGGAAGGGAAAACAAATCTTTTTAGGTAAACCGACCAATACAGTACTTGGGTTTGATAGCATAATTCTCATCACATTTCATTTTTTTAAACAGCTTCAAAACAGTTCATTTTCCCAAATAAGTACTTCCATTTTCAACTTGCATATTGGAAATGAACTTTAAAAGCTATAAAAGTGAAAACTTTTTTTAACCATTTTGTTCTTTTTCTTTCTTAGGTGGAGCGCATGATGACAGAAATAAATCTCGTCCTGTTGTAATAACATGTGTTCGACCTGGAGGGCCTGCTGACAGGTAAAATTCATCTTTTTTTGTAGCCATCTGGATAGATAGGTAGAGAGAATGAGGTAGATCACTTGGCATAGAAGTTAATACATTTCTTACAGGGTTTAAGATAGACAAATTTGCAGATTTGTAAATTTTATGTTCATTTGTAAGACTGCATTAGAAGAGTGATGTGGGCATGGTGTTTTTTTTTTTAAAGTACAGAATGCTTTTGCTCTTTTCTGTGTTTAAAAAAATTCATGCAGCCTTTTCATAATAAGCCTTTGGAGATAACTAAGATATTTAAATTACAACAATTTGCTTTCTTCTTGAGGAACAAATGTTTATTTTTGTTTATTGCCACCCAGATCAACAAACTGTTACCTATAACTTTGAATGAGTCTATAAGAGGGATATTATGGAATTACTAGGAAAGAAGTTTGCTGATTAACAGTTATATATACAAACTGACTTTTCTACCCCATCATAGATTTGAAGTGATATTTTAAACAAAAATGATTTGGGAAAAAAACAAAATAGGGATGTTTTTGTTTGTTTGCTTTAAGGAATGAAAAAGAAATTCTGACTTCTGTCTTGTTGTGAGAAATGTTCACCTTTGACAGGTGTCACAGTCCAATATTTGAGTGAAGATTTGTCTGTCTTCTCTTTGCTCCTTCCTTTTTGAGATATTAAAAAATATGTATACATGATATGTATATATATGTGTGTATAAGTGTATTTTATATATATATATGTGTACATACATACACATACACACACACACACACACACACACACACACACACACACACACACATATATATATATATATACCTATTATATGTATGTATAATGTGAATAATTTTTTTCCTGGAGAAAATGAGAATACTGCTTTTGCCATTCCAAGTTGGGTTGGGCAGAAAAGGAAGATTAACTGCTAAGCCGTGTGCAGACTAGCATTGCCTTGTATTCTGAGAGATATTAGAGTAAAGACCTCAAAGAAATCTAATCATCTACCATTTTAAAAATGAAATATCAAATGCCAAGAAGAGACGGTGAGAATTATCTAAATGGAAACTGTGAAGACCCCTTTTTCATTCTTCATAGATTTTTATATTTGACATTTTCTCTAGAAATGCATCTACTCACCAGATCCTCACATCTTATTTATTCTGTCACTAGGGATGGGGTTTGATACCAGATGCTAACCTGAGTGCTATTTTCAGCAGTGTTATTGAAGGGTCTTTCCCTAATACTGGCAGATATGGAACATTTAAATTAGGATGAGAATATTTGCCCCCTTCCCCCTAGCTACATAAGGCTGAATTAATTTAATGATTGCCAAATGGCACTATAAAACAGTAGGGAAATTTGCAGCCCAGGGAAATTTTTAAGCATCTTTCCCCATCCTACTTAGGCTCACTGGTAGTCAAAGGAATCAAATCTGCAGTCTTTCCTGCTCACTTCCCCTGGGCAGGTAGGTGAGTAGCTATTTCTCAGGCTTACCATAAATCATTTCCAGACGCCAGGCAGTCAAGCTAAAAGGAGGAAAAATATTCTTTGGGTGCTCCAAATGTTATCTGTTAATAACTTGGCTATTTGATAATGTGTAGTTATTATTCTTCTCTTTTCAGAACTTTAAGTAATAGCAATTTCACCTTCCCCTGATAGTGCTTAATACTGTTATTGTCAGAATTGATGCTTTAAAACAAATGCAAATGAGATTGATAGCAGAAAGCACATGAGACACTGGCTATAAGTAAGTGAATCAATGCCCAACCACGTTATGTTAAATTAATAAAGACTGTTACTTTAATCCTCCTTTAGAGAAGGCACAATCAAAGCTGGTGACAGGCTTCTGAGTGTGGATGGAATCAGACTTGCGGGTAACACACATGCTGAAGCAATGAGTATTCTCAAACAGTGTGGGCAGGAGGCAACGCTGGTGATAGAATATGATGTCTCAGTAATGGGTATGTATGTTGAAATTCCAAAGGTATATTCCCCAAGCTATCTGTGATATGTTGCCATCCATCCGTGCTAAGCCACTTTGAAATTAATTATGACCCTCCTGTAGCAGATAGGTTCTCTTCAGTACTATATCATTAATCTTTTCGGGTTCAGGAGGAGGTGAAGGCAATTTTATAGTAATTTCAAATCCTAAGGTTGATAGGATCTATAATAAGGTTTTGCTGTATCTGTGTGGTTCTCTCTGGCTTATGAGCACTTTGCTCCTACCATTCCTCAGATCGTTAAAATGGGGATCATTAATGTAGAGCAGAGCACCCCTATCCATTTACAAGCATGAGGACTGGAAATAAAGAGCATATTCCGTGGATGCTGCAGATATAGGGAAAAAATTAGGACTTCATGTTTTCCTGCCTAACTTGGGAATATCTCCCCTCCTAAGCAAAGGCAGCAGTAATGGCCAATCTTGTAATCAGACTGAGACTTAAGGGAAAACATATAGGCATGTATTCAAGTGAAGAATACCTCAGATCTACTTCTCCCACCTCTAATAAAGCTGGTTTCTGATAGAGATGTTAGCAACTGAGAAAAAGGCTAAGACTGAGGATTTGTATAATGTTGACTGGAAAAGAAAATAATTACCCAAGGTGAATTAGAACCTGAAATTGAACCTTAATCAAAGAGTAAATGCGCTTGCAAGTTGCAGACTGTAACATGTGATCTAACTCCGCTAAGCAGGTTTTACTGCAATGAAATGTAATAGAAAAGGGAAACCGTACATTACAAATGGCAGACTCCTTTATTTCCCACTCTGTGTGATTCATGTGGAACGGGGTTTCTTGAAAGTATCCTAATCTATCTTGTGGGCCAGATGTCTTATAGAAGCATCAGATTTCTTAAATGTCTTAAAGTATATGAGATTCGAAGAGTTTTCAACAGCATAAATGGTGTGGTGTCTCCCCTTTACAAGTGAAGTCTGGGACTGAACATTTCTTCTTCCTTTAAAAATGGATAATCTTTCAATTAATATATGCCACAATTCAAAAATCCTGGCATGCTGCTAAACTTGTGCAGAAAAGAAAGTGAGAGAGAGATAACGGGAGAGAAGGAGAGGGAGACAGCTCAAGGGAGGGAGGGAAGAAGAGAGAGATAGACATGGGGAGTAGAAAGGAGATCAAACACAGGCTTTGAACCCATAACTATTTATTTCCAAATGAAAAACAATATTAGTAACAATTCCTAGAGTAATTCTAACCCTGCTAGAATAAAGGTTACCTAAGGGCAATGTGTTATTAATGGTGGCTTGCTGAGCCCCTGCATCTTAACTTGGTGGGATCCTTGTTTCTAAAATATAGAGAGATGTACAGCTTTTGTGTTCATTTGTCTTTTATCATATTTATTGTCTAATGGGCCAAGGGGGTTGAGTTGTCTGTTTGGCTGAAGAGGAGCATTAGCTACCCCCTGGCCCTCGCCCTCATATGGGTAGATCTGTTCTTTCTCAGCTGTTCCCTCCAGGCAGCCTCATGGGTGTGATTTTTCCCCTCTAATGAGATAATATTTGTAAAGCACTTCAAACAGTGGCTGGCACATAGTAGGTGCTATATTCCTTTCCCACTTAGTCCCCCCAGTCTCCTGTGGTGGAGATGTTGGAGTCCTTTAACCTGCTTTGGAAGAGAATTTTTAAAATCTCCTCCCACCAGAGCTCTGCCAGCTCAAGTGGTACCTAGATTTCTTTTTGTGGTATGATTTTATTGAATCTTTTTCCTGCTTTAAGAGAACTATACTGGTGCATTTCCATAAAGATCTCTGATTCAACTTGAGTTCCTATGTGGTGAAAAAAAAAATCCCAGTGATTAGAATTTCATGTGTGTGTGTGTGTATATGTGTGTGTGTGTGTGTGTATTTACGTCATGATTGACCATCATCTATTTGTTGCTTTCTTTAATCTCCCCAAAGAGACAACACACACACACGCACACACACGCACGCACACACACACACACACACACACACACACACACACACACACACACAGGTATGGTAGAGGAGATAGTTTCTTTTTGAGAATGTATGGCCAATACAGAAAATGAATAGATTTGAAAAAGAAATAAGGAATGAGAGAAAGGCTCAGTGAAATAAAAGATGCAAAAGTAAGAATATTCTCATTGTAGTTCTCAGCAAAACAGGGACGACTGCGGTGGCCTCTTCTCTTTGGAGCTTAGCATTCTATCTCAAAGTTCCAAGTCACCCCATAACAGTAGGGTAGGTGCTGAGAAGCAGCTGCTTTCCCATCCTCTTCTCTCGTGCTACCTCACAGAGAGCCTTCCTTCTTCCCCCAAGGCACTGCTCACCTCTCACTTCTGGAGATTTCCACTCTCTCCTACCTTTGGGAGAAGACAAGGAGAAAATCCTTTGTGATAGGTCAAAGCTCTTATTGCTTGGATCAGAACACACTAATTTATGTCTAGTCCCACAGGCATCTGTCCTAACTGTACTATTATGTGAATTTTTGTGTGCTACAGTTGACTAGAAAGGATGTGTGAATATGAAGCAAGATAATGCCCATCATTCACTAGCTGTGTAACCTTGGCTCAATCAGTGGTTTGCCCGAGTTATCTCATCTGTAAAATGGGAGTAATAATACTTGTTCTACCATTATCATAGGGTTATATGGATCAAATAAGAATGTGCATGTGAAAATTCCTTTTAAGCAATATGCATATATACTATATGGGCTGGCAAAATCTGATAGCCTTTGTAGTCCTTTGTACATCGTTGTTGTTCAGTCATATCCGACTCTTCTTGACCTCACGGCTCAGTGAGTGAGCCAAAATGAAATAAAAGTTGCAAAGGTAGGAATATTCCCAATGTGTTTCAGGACAGCATGACAATACTGTCCATGGGGTTTTCTTGGAAAAGATACTGGAGCCATTTGCCATTTCCTTCTCCAGTTCATTTTATAGATGAGGAAACTGAGGCAAACAAAGGTTAAGTGACCTGCCCAGGGTCACACAACTAGTGTCTGAGGCCAGATTTGAGCTCAGATCTTCCTGATTCCAGGCCCAGCACCTCTATCCACAGAGCTATCTAGCTGCTTCTATTCATAGTAGTATGTATGCCTTTGTACATAGTAGGTGGTTAATAAATGCTTCTTGAACTGAATTTTGTCTTGAAGATAGTAGGGCATTTCAAGTTTTATTAAAGCATCATGCTCTTATTCTAAAGACCTCGAGGGAGGATGCTAGCTTAGAGCTGTTGTTTTAAGCCCTGACTTCCATTTCACACCTGGGTTCAGGTCTGTATGAAGGCACGGGACTGTGTGTGCTGCAGATTCCCTTTTTTCTGTTCCCTCCTCATTCTCAAACCACATGTTAATTATTATTGTTACAACTCCTAGTGAGACTCCCTATGCCTGGGTGAGAGTTGGATGTGGAAATGTGTAAGGAAACTTGACCTCTGGTAACCAACTTCTGATATTGATGACTAAGTTACCAGGGGATATTTCAAGCACCACTTCTAGTATTCCAAAAATTAGATAACAAAGTATGTTCATGATTCAGGTAACCTAATTCCAACACACATGTACTATAAAAGATCATAGCCAGCATATGACTTGAGGACAAGAAAGAAAAAAAATAGAAATTGTTATTTGTAGCAGCCATGGTTACCTGTGGCCATGTTGACTCTAGCCTAATTAGGCATAGAATAGAAGTAAGACACATGCCATTCAAATACTCCAGGCTCGAACAGCAGTCCTAGGTAGCATCTTCCTTATCAGGAATTCTCTTTAAAGTCTTTAAACCAAGAACATAAAATTCCCAGATGCATTGAGGTGTTTAAGGCTCCACTAGACTTAATAATGTATGATGTCCATGGTTCCTAATAAAAAAAAATCAAAGAAGGTGTCTCCCATATTTACCTCCCCTTAAGATTTCTCACAAAATTATGCATAATCATAATGGAAGGATGAGGTGCAACAGAGCTGAATAATTAGATTTCTTTAACCATAATTAAATATAATTAAATGTCAGTAGTATGTTCGAAAGGCTGGTGACAACCTGGAGAATGTCCAAAGAAGACAGTCCAGAATGGCTCGGGGCCTTAAAGCTATGACATATGAGGAACATGTGTTCGAGGATCCCTAGAGTTCAGACTTAAACGTGTTATTAAACATATTGTGCTCAGAGTTAGGAAGGGTTGCCATATGATAGATGAATTAGGGACAGAACTGTTTTATGTGGCTCCAGAGGGATGGTGCGAAAGCGGCTGACTGAGGATTGAGCCTATCAAGATCTGACAGAAACGTACTTGCTGCAAGTTTTATTTTATAAACCATACAAAAGTTAAAGAGTTGGGAGGGAAAGGCTGCTGGAATACAGCTATATGTTAAGAAGACGTGGGCGTGTGAGAAAAATCCAGAAATCAGGGTGTGTTTTGAGGTAAAGATCAGTGCAGGGAGAAATGAAAGCGAGTTGTCATTAGCAGATACTACAGACCACCACGAGGAGTTTAGGGAGCAAATCATGAGTTTGAGAATGGGCATAATATACTAGTAATGGATGACTTCAATTATTCACACATCTACTGGAGCACTCCCCCCACTCCCCTGTCTACCTTTCTCGTCTTCTCTCTCTCTGTGTTCTCGCGTGTTCTCGTGTTCTCGTTCTCTCTCTCTCCCTCTCCCCCACTCCCCACCCCTTCCTCTCTCTCTCTCTCCACCCTCCCACCCCCTTCCTCTCTCTCTCTCTCTCTCTCTCTCTCTCTCTCTCTCTCTCTCTCTCTCTCTCTCTCTCTCTCTCTCCCACCCTCCCACCCTCCTCTCTCTCTCTCTCTCTCTCTCTCTCTCTCTCTCTCTCTCTCTCCCTCTCTCCTCTCTCTCCTCTCTCTCTCTCTCTCTCTCTCTCTCTCTCTCTCTCTCTCTTCTCTTTTTCCTCTCTCCCACATCAGAGCAGCTACTACTTTCTTGCCTTGCCTTAATGGTAATTTCATCCTCCAAAGGATAGAA